CTGCCAGCGGCTCCGCCCCGCTCCCTGCAGGGAACCAGCTCGGGTTACTCCAAGACAGGAACGTGCTCCCCGGGAAGTTGTGTCGAGCGACGCCGGGCTCCGAGTCCTCCCCTGAGCTGACCAGGCAGTAACCGGTTGTATTTGCCTGTATTCCAAGAACTCACGGCAGAATTGTGCTGCTCTGGTCAGCGCTTCAAGGGACAGAGCTCAGCAGGAGCTCGGGCTCATGACCAACACCCACCCTCGGCAACGCAGGCGGAGCAGTGGGAACGTTACTCCCCGCTGTAAAAGGGCTTTGTGTTTTGCTGTCCATCACAGAACCAGGCTTTCTAAAACTAAGGAACAGAAATCATATTTCATTTTTAACTCTCTATCCTCAGCTTTAGAAGCGATGAGCCACCTACTTCTGTGCTCCTGAGAACCTACTTTTAAGGTGGCCATTAATATTTCCAGTTTTTATCACAACAAACTACAAGAAAGATTCCAGGGCTAAAAACACATTACCTTGCCTTTTTTTCTTTTTTTTCTTATTTTTTTTTTTTTAAGGAATATGGATCACTTTTTTAAAAAAAAACTGTTTTTCCTGAGAATTTTCATTGTTAGCAAACACATCAGGATACAGCTTGCGTATCAAGTGAAAAAGCACAATGTTGACAGTGGTTCCTGAGATCTGAGCTATTTGCCTCTAAATCAGAATCTCCTGTTTTGAAAATGACAGAATGGAGGGAAAACAGGAGCTAGGCAGTAAATGCACTCTTCAGTTCCAGGTACCTTTTGGGGGGGGTTCTATGAGGGGGAAGTTCTCACTCCACCAGCAATTAAATTCTGGAGTCAAATGAACCATATGGCTTCCAAAGGACACTGAGAAGAATCCGGTTTCTCTACAATCCCGTAAGAGGGAACAACAAAGAAAACGTGTTCCAGCCTGAGCAGCAGTTTTGCACCGTTCTCCCTAGAGTTAACACGTATCATTAGCATTCATACTTCAGTCAAAACATCCAGTTCAATGTTTTTTTTCCCCTCTTAAATGCATGCCATTATATGCTATACTTACAGGGTAAATTAGCTTCAAGTTCTGCAACCTCTGTTGAAAGAAAAAATAAGAAGTGCTGTTAATTATGTAAGTATAAAGACATTCTTGAAATCCAAATTGGCGGATCCAATTTAAACCACCCTGTAAATCAAATTTTACTTAAAAATATAATTAAGCTGCACTGAAGGCTGACCTTGAAATTTCTCTTTAAGCCACACAATTCATTACTAAAAATGTTCATCTTCCCTACAGACAATGCAAATGCGATTGGGAGGTTCAGCATTGCCAAGACTGAAGTGCCAGAGCTTCTAATACACAGAGCACTGGCATTTCAGAAGGTAGCATTCTTCAAACCTCCAAACTCATCCACATAAGGCACAAAAATATATAAGGCCAGAACTTCACAGCCTGCAAAACACAAGAGCAGAGAAACCTCGAGAATTCAGTTGCTAGCCCAGTGATAAAAACAAGCACAGGAGGAAGCCTCCAGGCACGATATCATGTACTGCATGCTTGAAACCATGAACTACTGAACCCCTAATTCTAGGGCACTGCCCTGTTAGATGTGGTCCTGCCTGCAGAAACCAGCATTAAGACCACTGAAAGAACAGAGAAAGACAAACCTTCACTTCAAGCACCTGGCACAGCAAATTGCACCAATCAGTGATGAACACTGCATCCCCCCACGACTCCACCAAAACCTCTGCACTATTGAACAAACTTGGGAGCGTTCAGATTTCTTGTACTCCTGTGTCTGTTCGGTATTTCCCCTGGGAGCACAGTTTGTTACACATATGCACTCCTGTCCAAGTCAAATTACTCTTTATTTACTATATTTCCCATGCACAAACCTTAGAAATTAGTCATAAAAGAAAGGAACCCACCCAATTCGGTTGCATGGCTCCAAGGAAGGGAAGGTTATTCCCAAGCCCTTTCTCTGCCATGCTATCTTCTCTGAAAGACTCCCTTCTTTCTCCCTCTTTCGTGTACTTTATTGAAATTTAAACTACTTTTATGTTACAGAAGTGTGATTGAGAAGTACCAAGATACCTCCTCCTTTAATTTCTAAACTTCTAGGAAACCTAATAAAGTATATTTTTGCATTTCCTGTAGACTTTTTTCCACTCGACAACTAACTTTGCTTTCTGGTCTGCACAGACACAGTCCATTTATTTGGGCTAACAATGTGTAAGAGAAAATCTTCAACAACTCTCAAAACCATACATCTAAAGAAAACTGTAATTCAGTTTAACATATGGGGAACTATTTCTTGGCTCGGAATCCAGACTAATCTCATTATACTTGAGAGTTTACTAATTCCCCAGAACTCTTCTTGCACCCATGCTTACCAAACCTGGCTGGTCTCTGCAATGAGCAGAGTACAGATTGGCACAGTTCTGGGATCCCTGCACCTGCAGCCTATGACACCAAGAGAGAAAACCCACCTCAGCCGAAGTATTGCTTTTCACAATTACCTAAAAAGTTCACAACTGCACTCTTTGAAATCTTACACTCTGCAGCACTTGAGCAGCCACAGCTGATTTAACCAAAGCTGTGCTCTGAAAGACACACCAACACTGAGAGTATATTTTGCTAAAGTTTTTCAAAGAGTACAATTTCTATTATATACCAAAAGTGTAATTTCAGCTATAACCAAGGACTTTATTTTTACTTTCCCTTTCTGCTCTAAAAAAAAAGACATGACATAACCAAGTACTGAAGGTTGCAGCCATACAAACCCTTCACATGGGTACTTCCCCACCCCTTTCTCTCTAAACTCACCAGCTTTTCACAGTGGAAGGCTCTGTTCATCTCCACAAGAGGGCAGAGCTTAGGACCTGGCACTCATTTTCAGGTGTTAACTGCTTTCCTCATTGCTCTCTGTGCTTGTGTGTTGTTCAGCTTAACGAATCCTGGCTGCCCTTCACCTAAATTCTGAGACAAGGGCAGTATGGAAAAGGGAGAAACCAAAGGACAGAGATGCCCAAACCCAGCAATGGCCGGGCCACAGCAGCTCTGCTGAGCTGGGACCTCACTTCTGCCTCCTGCAAGGTTCAGTAGAGTTTACTGATCACCATACTTCCCTTGAAGTGTGAAAAATTTCCTGCAGTACCTGCAAGCTTTTGGGTTTCCCTTTGTCTTGCCACAAGAATGAGTGAATTTTCTTGTGAAAATATGGAAACAAAGGTGCTCACACCCACGAGTAGGGAACAGCAGCCTTTCTTTGAAGGTGTGCAAACACATGGGGAAGTTTTAACTAATCCAGGTGAAAGCTTTGTCAACAAAGGCAAGTGCCCCGAAATTAAGGTTTCCAATCAACTCTGCAACAAAACACTGAAACTAAGAATGAAACAACTTTGTAAAGTCAAAAGACACAGGTAAAGATCTGCTTCAATAACCTAAAATTTTAAAGTAACATCAAGTAAGGAAACCAATACTACTACTAACTGTGCTGTCTAAACATTGGGGATTAACCAGAACCAATATATTTAATGGGCCAAAGCTACAGTGTGTGAGTTTTCCAAGTTCTGTGACTCTTTGGTACTGATAGAAAAATGATTTCTATGTTGAGACTATCTTGCTGCTCAGAAAGCAAACATTTTGACCACATCGTTCAACCTACATCAAGATTCTGATGGTTCAAGGTATGTATTTTCTGCCTAAAATAATACCACTGACAAGAATACTCCCTGTAAGAAAATGCCCCTTGTGCAGTCTGCCACCTTACCATCATGGTTTAATTGATTTGTAAACAAGCAAAATGTAGAAGCAACGATCAGAGCTCAAATGCACTGAACTCCCAAAAGCTCCAAAAGCCTCACAAAATTAAAGAACAAGCTTAATCTCACCATCTTTCTGATCTCCTCTTTCAATGACTGTAACTACAGCTGAGCAGTAAAGAAAATCCAATTCCATGACTTCTAATAATGTTTTGTGGATAACTCCTATCTGTGTCTCAATTCACAGCCATGCGCGTTGCTGTTCCTTAGGATGTTGAGACAAACAACAGGATAACCCACATCTGGGGAAATATTATGTGAAAGCACCCCAGAACTTCCACAGGGGAATAGTGCTTGTCGACTCCCACTCAGTACTGGCTCAGCAGAGGTCCAGAAACACTGCAGAGCAAACTCCTCTCACAGTCAAGAGGGTTTATTCCCAAGCAGTGGCAAACCTGGGAGCACTGCAAGGCCCTGCACCCACTCCAATAAGCCATCCTGGGTAAGTCTGAAAGGCCCTAAGTGCAGACACATGCCAGAGCCTCTGCAAGGGGGAAAAAAAACTCATGTGCAGTCATCCCAGACCCAGACTGGCTCCCAACAGGCCAGTCTGGTGTTCCTGAAACCCTCTGTAATCTAGTGCAGGAGCACACCCAAGTGGCAGGTATATTTGCAGAGTCCTGCTCTTGACCCAGCAGGCACATGCTTGAAAACTTCCAAATGCTCTTTTAAACCATAAAAAGAGTAAAAAGGCAAGTATTAAACTTAAACCTACCACAGACTTTGGAAAAGTTGAATGCAAACTGACTATATCTCAGAAGCAGCTCAGGAACTTTATAAAACAGGGGAAAGCTAAGCCTAACTCAAGCAAGCAGAGCTATTTATAAAGGATTTCACAAACAATAACTCTCCCTGCCCATGATGATGGTCAGGACAGAAATAGGAACAGATGCTCCTGATGTGTGCACAGGCGTATGGTTTATGAGACACCCACGTGCATGTTCTATTCAGTAATGCACGGACTCTAATCCCCTTGTTCTGCTCCCTGTCCTTCCCCCACCCCACCTCAACGAGTTGGAGTAGAGAAGTGCTTTGTTTGTGGGCCTTGCCACACAGAGTCAGGCCATCTGCTGCCCACCAGCGTTTGGGTTTAAGTACACAAAGTGAAATTATTTCCTGAACTGAAATGAACACTCTCATCCACAGCAGTACTTACTTCTCTCTGGTTTTGTCCAAAAAGTCCCCTCTCCTGTTTAGGTCCCTCTTTAATGTACACCTTTAAGACTCCTGGAGATAAATATCTTGACACTGACAAAAGCTCCATTTTCTAAGTATTAATTCTAGCAGTATAATGCAGTTTGCCTTCTAATTCTTATCCATCTACCTCTATAACTTTTCCTACTGAGCTCCTCTGAGCTGTACAACCACACAGACCACTATTAAAAGCCAAACAAGCCACCTAATACTGCCAGTTTTCCAATAGGGTAAGAGATGTCTATATTCCTTCCACTTCCAAATGTCTATTTTAAACAAGTTTCTATCAAATTGCATGCTTCAGCTTCTATACACTATCAGAAAGCTTAGTATCCTGACATCATAAAACGGAAAAAAACACTGTGGTTGGAAATGTCTAACTCTGCAATACATCCCTTCATACACCAGGTCTGCTAAAAATGAGAGGTGTAACAAGTGGCACCATGCACTGAGCCAGGCGTCCCTTTGTCACTGAAGCTCTGGAAAAAGTCTCAGCAATAATTTTTCAAATTGGCTTAAATTCTCATTATGTCTTTTTAGCTTTACAATACTTATCACAATTGTGCTGCAAGCATTTATGTGTAAACTACTAGTTTCCTCCTTAATAAATACAAATCACTCATTTATCAGGCAACATGGCACTGTCATACTCCAGAATAAAGGATTTCATCTGGGAGGAGGCTAAGAAGCATGACTGAAACAGAAATGATTTTGTGTTTCAAGTGCAACCTGCAGAAGTTAATGCAGCATTTGCGAAATAATGCCTCACAATCTCAAGTGTTAGTGAAGACTTTTTTAATTCTCAAAAGTATTTTCTCTCCTCTCAATTTTCCTCACCTGTTATCATAAGGAAGGATATTAACTGTACTCAAAGGCCTGAGAAAAGGAAACATATAGATTCTCCTCATCTTTATTTACAGTGCAGATACACTTCATCTTTAAAATTAGTTTCTCACTTCTAATTGCTCAGGCTCATAGAAACACACCCCTGAAACATTTCCCAGTTACATAAATCTGGTTGTAAAAGCCACAAATCTTGAAGACAAGTGAAGAGCAAACCATGCTAACTTGGTTTTTTAGGTATTCAGTTATTTCAAGCTGTCACAATCAAACAAAGCAGTATCGGTAATAGAAAACTGAATGATGGCACTCAAGAATGATGAGTTGAAGGGACTGATGAATATATATATACATCACTACTACTGACATCCTGGTGTGTGCTCTATCTTTCACTCTATTTAGTACTCAAATTCATTATACACTATTAATCTTAAATACTGCTTCGGCTTGTCTTCAGCCCCTTTCAAATTTTCAGACAGGACCTGCCTTTCAAGCTCAGCACTGCACAGCTCAGAGCATCCTGCAGGAGCAGTCCTGTGGACCCTGTTCTTAATTTGATGAAGTTCCTCCTCGGAGATGAATTTAACATCAAAA